ATGTCAGTTTCAATAACATATTATTCCAACATTGCCGCATACAATTTATGTATTCAAGTAATATTACAATAATTGGTTCTATTTTTAAAAGCCAAAGCTTTTTGATGGGACTCATCAATGTTTTTGATAGTATAATAACATCTTCAGTTTTTGATAAAGTATATCTATATATTAATTATTATCCGCCTCCAGTGTGTTACAATGAATTACATCATTACTCATTAACACTGACTAATGTTACTGTGACTAATGGCTACTTATGGTTTAATATGGATCATGGTAGCTCATATAACGTATCAGTTATCCTTGATAATGTCAATATTATCAGTTCATCATATAATCAATATCAAGGCGTTTTTCATATTTTCAGTGAATCTCTTTTTTCTCTATATTTTACCAATTCATCAGTATCTAATTTATTTGGTGGATTTTACTCTAGTTTTCACAAATATATAGAACAATTAAAAAATTGTACTATTAAAGGTGTTGAATCACAATCGACTATTGTGATTGAAAACTCCCAATTTTACAACAACAGCAGATTTGGATTATTATTTGCTATGCATAGAGATTATTTTCAAGCAAGTAATCATCACATTGACATTACCATTAAGTCATGTTCAATATGTGACAATGAACAAGGATTATATATTAATAGAGGGTTATCAACATTAGCTCATATCAGTGTTATAGATACTGAACTTGTTGGAAACAGGAGAAATGACATAGTAGGCTGTCTTTCTATCATTCTTAGTAACATTACTGTTACTAATACTGGATCAACAGGACTGGAGATCACATCCTCTGTAGTAACTGTAGAAAATAGATTAGTATTTAAAAATAATACTGGAGTAGTTGGAGGAGGAATGGCAATAAAGGGTTCATCTGTTGTGGCCCTATCACCATCAGCTAACTTGGAGTTTATTGATAATCATGCATCTCTTGTAGGAGGAGGAATTTATATTGATGAGGAAAGTTGCTTTCAGTTCAAACAAGGCTCCAGCTCCATTCCTCTTACATTAAAGGATAATACTGCTGGAGTAGCTGGAAATGATATATATGGGTTTATTGGTTCATTCAATTATTTTAATTTGACAAATCCTAAAGACAGTGTATTAAGCAATTTTAGATTCTTTTTTTGTGATCCTGATAGCAATGAAACAATATCAAATGATACAGGCATCTATGAAACACAGAATTATGATGAACATGAGCAACAAATATTTCCAGGTCAACTATTGGAATATAATGTTGCTTTGTTTGTTTTCAATTTCAATAATGGTACGTTCATTCCTACAAATCAAATGATAATAATAAAAATTGATGGTGTACCAGTGGAACATGTATACATCAATGGTAGTTGTTCTTTGATTGAATACACACCATACAAGCTCACATACACAAGACATGAAATAGCACTCATAATGTATCATCACAAAATTCAGTCGTACTTCATCTTTAATGAGTGCCCTATTGGTTTCAGGGAAAATAGTTCAGGTGTTTGTGATTGCAGTGTTTCAAGAGAGAATGTGACATGTGATATAAATACCCTAGACATTACACACAATGGTCTACTCTGGATTGGAACATATCATACCAGTACACCTTTCAATGCTAATGAAACCAATCCTAATGCATGCATTATCAATGAGGACTGTCTCCTCTATTGTTCTCCTAATCCTGTTACCTTTCAATTGAATGACACTGATACTCAATGTGTGGATACCAGGGGACAGAGAATGTGTGGATCATGTAGAGATGGATACAGTCTACTAATGGGATCAAACAAGTGTGGACAGTGTCATAATAATTACATGATGATAGCTTGGATTGCTCTGTTTGCAGTGATGGGTGTACTACTTGTGGTTCTACTGATTGCTCTCAATTTAACAGTATCAGTGGGTACACTCAATGGTCTATTGTTCTATGCTAACATTGTCAAGTTATACGAGCCAGTCTTTTCAAGGAAAGGAGCATTACCAGTCTTGAGTCAAGTCATATCATGGATTAACTTAGACTTTGGGTTTGAGATATGTTTTTACAATGGTATGGACAGTTTTGCTAAACAATGGCTTCAGTTTGCTTTCCCTCTCTACCTGTGGATCATTATCATTATCATTATACAATTGTGTAAGAGATATGGTAAGGTATCGAGACTGATGGGATCTCACGCTGTTCCTGTTCTATCTACACTCTTCCTTCTCTCATATACTAAACTAGTTCGTACTATTGTTATTGTACTACACAAGCGTGAGGTAACTCTTCACTGTACAAATGAGTCAGTAAGATCAGTTAGTTTATGGTATGAGGATCCTAATGTTGAATATGCTAAAGGGAAGCATGCTGGACTATTTGGATTTGCCCTATTGGTGTCTGTTTTCTTTGTCATACCATACACACTGTTCCTTTTATGTCATCCAGTATTTGAGAAGCATCTGTCACATTTTAAACTGTTCAAGAACTCGAGTCGTTTCAAGCCTATTATTGATGCTTATAGTGGTCCAATGAAAGATGAGTATCGGTTCTGGCCTGGTCTACTGCTAGTGGCTAGGATACCAGTACTATTATCAGTTACTTTAGTTGATAGTTTCATTCAGTCACATTATTTCCTATTGTCAATGCTATTGACAGTGTTGGTTATTGTGCTATCATTGGGTTATTGTTTTGGTGGAGTTTACAAGGAGAGAATGAACAATGTACTTGAAGTTTGGTTCTTGTTTAACTTATGTATCATGGCTGGTCTCTCTATAGCTTTCAATGAAGACAGTAAAGTATTGATCTGGTGCAATACTTGTTTATCTGTTTTTATTTTTAGTTTTATTTTGATTGTTGTTTATCATCTTTACCTGCAGTTATCACATATGAAATGTTATCATGCTCTAATTAAGAAGTTATTCAAGAAACAAGATGAAGATGATGATCCTCTTTTAGATGTAACTCAATCACATATAACTGTTGATCAACAAAGAAGACAAATTGTACCAAGTTCTACTGATGTTAGACTCAGTAATAGTCGTGAATCAGTTGTTGATTTATTTTAATTATAATCTTTAGTAGTTTTTGTTGCTATACTATTATTATTAAATTTGGCTATTAAAATCTTAGAAGTAGTAACTCAATTAACACATTCCTCAATATTTTAAGAACATCAAGTTTAGTTTACATTCTCAAACTGTCTCATATACAGAAAGTTATTGTTATTGATTTGAGGTTTTAATTTATCTTTCTATTATTGATAACATTCCATGAAACACACCTACATGCATATACCAAGATTACAATAAAAATAGTTATGCACATCCAATACTGTAAACCCACCATCCACTATTCAGCTTTGTGGTTACTTTGATGTGCTGCCAACTCTATTGCCTGAATTAGAACTCAGTTATATTTCAGGCAACAGAGTTGTCATAAGATCAAAGTAACCACAAAGTTGCTTTTAACAAAGTTGAATAGTGGATGGTGGGCTTTAAGGCATAATTAACTTAAATTGTAATAAATAATTTTAGTCCCCATACAATACTAATGCTCACCTAATAATGACTCTGAGTCTTTCTCTGATATTTGCTTTAACTGTCTACAAAAGTCATTTAGCTGTGTGATGAGGATTATGGTTTACAGAAAGAGGAGGAGGAGGAGAATTAGCTAATCATGCAGACTGATTATCTCTCACTTCATAAATATATGATTCCAATGTCCCCAATGAATTGTTGCTGGCCTTTAAGTGATAATAATGAGCTGTAAAATTTGGAGAGAGAGAGAGAAGGGGGGAGGGAAAGAAAAAGACTTAATAAAATTAGTTCAAAATATGACACTACGGGCCAGCATAAAGACAATTTCTAATGAACAATAATTGAATAATAATTTTAGTGAATAATAATTTCTATAAACAAGGTTCATAGCAATAGGCTATACACATTAGAAGCATGCATGGACCACTAAAAATTTACTAAAAATGGAGAATTCTCACCTTGTCATTTTTGACAAAAATTGGCCAATGGCCCTGCACTATATAGTACAGGGACTTTGGCTCCATTTTTAAGTAAATTTAAAAATTCTTAAAAAATCCAATTTTGATCAGAATTAGCTCAAACTTTCTATACAACATAAGTACATATATATGCATCAGAAAATGTACTAAAAATGAAGAATTCTCGCCTTGTCATTTTTGACAAAGTTTGGCCAACGACCCCGTACTATAGTACAGGGACTTTGGCTCCATTTTTGAGTAAATTCAAAAATTCTTTAAAAATCTAATTTTGATTAAAATCAGCTCAAACTTTCTACACAACATAAGTACATGTATATGCATCAGAAAATGTAATAAAAATGGAGAATTCTCACCTTGCCATTTTTGACAAAATTTGGCCAACGACCCTTGGCTCCATTTTTAAGTAACTTTAAAAATTCTTTAAAAATTCAATTTTGATTGGAATTAGCTCTAACTTTCTATACAACATAAGTACATGCATATGCATCAGAAAATGTAATAAAAATGGAGAATTTTTACCTTGTCATTTTTGACAAAATTTGGCCAACGACCCTGTACTATAGTACAGGGACTTTGGCTCCATTTTTGAGTAAATTTAAATATTTGTAAAAATCTAATTTTGATTGGAATCCATTTCAACTTTCTACACAACATCAGTACATGTATATGTACCGTGGGTGCCTTTTTTTTGAGGGCTATAAATTTCGCAGATTTCACGATTTTTTTAAAGATTCGCGAAAATTACTTTTGCAAAAACCAAATTAATACGGTACAAGATGGCCAATGGCATAAATTTGCAAAAATTAAATCCGTGAAATAAAAACCCACTAAATTTATAGCCCTCGAAAAAAAGGCACCCTACGGTATCAGATAAAATCATAAAAACAGAGAATTCTGACTTTATCTATTTAAGCAAAATTTGGCCAATAACCCTGTACTATTATAGTACAGGGACTTTGGTCCGATTTTTGAGTAACTTTAAAAAATTCATAAAAAATTCAATTTTGATCGGAATCAGTTCAAACTTTCTACAACATAATTACATGTATATGTATCAGATATAATTATAAAAATGAAGAATTTTCATCTTTTAAATTTTGAAAAAAAATTAACTCAATTTTTGAGTAGCTTAAAATGTTCATAAAAATCCAATTTTATGATTGAAATCCATTCAAACTTTCTACACAACATACATGTAAGTACATGTACATGTATCACTAAATTCTTTCCCAGTAAGCACACAATACATTGGCATATGCACTCATCAGTACTCACTATTTCTCTAAGTGATATATTATCTTTGTTAGATAAAGAGTCCAATATTGTGAGTGGCTTTGATAATCCACCAGTATACACTAAAGGTAGAGCAAGATCTTCTCTGGGACATGAAACCTTGAGAGAGAGAGAGAGGGCCGTAAAAAAAGGAGAGAGATAGAAGGTTTTTACTTTTTAAGCCTTAGTTAAAGTCCTCCAATTTATAAAAAAAACAAATTAACTCACCAAACTAACTTAAATTTGTTGTTAAACAACCATTTAAATTTCCTGTATATGTTATACAACCAAGAGTACTTATGTACTCTTAATATTACAACCCTTATCATCTGTACTTTTGCTAGTGCTGCTCCTACTTTTATCATAGTGGCTGTGTGGGCGGCTTATTTCCTGTATCCTTGTCACCCACGCATTTACTTCTAACTCCTAGTACTCCCATGTCTCACTCTCATTATCTTTACCTACCTCTCCTTCTATCATCCTTTAGGTTAATAGTGTTGATGGATCATATTGTTCACAATGTGGGCAGCTCAACATGCAGCATTGTGTAAAGTACTCACTACATGTCATCAAGTATCTCTGTAACAAGAGTGTACTCTTTAAATCAATGGACCACTGACATACAGATAGACACTGTATGCATATACTGACTGTAACAGAATGCACTAATTCCTCAATTTCAGCTGTTCTATTTAACATATTATTATGTATTGTGAGAGTATTATTCAAATTATTATTTACTGAAAATGAATAGTTATTTTATTGAAATAATTTGTTTTGTGTAAGAATAATATTTATGCATTGTCTGCACTTGATGGTTGCATTAAAACTAGATCTGTGAGCTCATAGCTGTAACATCCAGAACTATCATCATTCCTAGTTCTAATTGTATTACCAGTTATCATTATTACTATAGTAGTAGTATAATAGATCTAGTAGTTTGAATTGTATTTCCACTAACTAGTTGCTGTAATAACTACCAGCACTATAGTGGCTTTAGAGTAGAGTGTTTCATAATGGCAAGGAAAGAATTCTATGATGCATAATTATACACTTATTTAAAAAGCTGATTCAGGTAAATTTTAAAAATTGCTCAAAATTTGGCAAAATCCCTGACATAGCTACATGTTATGAGAGATTTCTCCAACTTCAATTCTCTAAAATATATTGTGAGGTACTACTGATCTATTGTAGTGAGTAACATGTTAATAATTATATTACTTTTATAAACAATAATCTCCCACACGTCCATAGGTTTAGCTGAATCTCACTGATCTCACACTGAGTGCATGAATGTAGTAGTAGCTATGTCTCTCCTGTTAGTGGTTGTTCTCTTATTCTTCAGTAGCTCCTGCAGTGTCTCCTCTGGTCAGTATTATGTGTCTGATGACTGCAGTTCAGTTACTCAGTCACCTTGTAATCCTTTATCAGTGTATGCTGGGGATATGTCTCAATACAATAACACCATCTTCTACTTCATTGGAGCTAGCAACATTTACTTTGATGTCACAATGGACTCAGTACAGAATATAACTCTACATGGACTGGACCAGTCTCCTACTATTCACTGCTATTATCTTTATTACTTCATAACAATCTATGCCAGCAGTCATGTCAGTTTCAATAACATATTATTCCAACATTGCCGCATACAATTTATGTATTCAAGTAATATTACAATAATTGGTTCTATTTTTAAAAGCCNAAAGCTTTTTGATGGGACTCATCAATGTTTTGATAGTATAATAACATCTCAGT